CTAGCTGTTCCCTGCAAAAATGTGCTCAGCGTGATAAGTGCGCGAACTTTAGCAAAATTCCCAAATCTTTGAACCTTTCACAGAACACCCTCCCACGTGTGATCATCTCCCAAGGTAGCGACAAGACCACAAAATAGTCCCGGGCTGAGCTACACGTATTCCAAAACGCCACGGTTTTTCCGGAAAAACAATTTCTGCGATAAATCGGTATTTGTCATTCTAAAAGCGAAGAAAACAATATTCTGGAAAACTGATTTTGCCATTCGATAGAGCTCATCGAGTTCTATCTGGCACACTTATTTCCAAAGGTGGCACAGCTTTAATAAAAAACGTTAGGCGAAAATACAAAAGTTTGAGTTTTCGTCTCGTTCAGAAAATCAGTATTTGTCATTCTAAAAGCGAAGAAAACAATATTCTGGAAAACTGATTTTGCCATTCGATAGAGCTCATCGAGTTCTATCTGGCACACTTATTTCCAAAGATGGCACAGCTTTAATAAAAAACGTTAGGCGAAAATATAGAAATATGCTGCTAACTTCCGTTACGTCCATATCCCTCCTTTTTTGTACTTATTCATTATTGTATAGCATTGAGCAGAACAGACGTAAACTTCACTCTTTTTCCTTATCCGTATTCATATATTATTTTGTCCATCACTTAGATCAGACGACTATATAAGAACATGTTTCTCCTTTTTCTGTTCAGTTGGCGAAGAAGTGTCGTAGTTAATATTAATTTATGTTGCGTTAGTCTGTCTGTACTCTTCGTCTTCTAGATTTTAAAATAAATTGTTAAAACATTTAAGTTACTCTAATTTCCTCAAATTCATCAGTAGCCTGGGACCGATTTCTATAGTAAGTAGGTTCAATCTTCTGTGAGAGGACTTTAGTACTAGCATACATTACACGCTATCTTGTGAGAAAGTGACCATATGCTTGCAATCAGCTTTAAAACAAATTGTTTCGGCTTACTTTGAAGGCTGTTAAGAAAAATCATTTGTTCACTTTGAACTTTCGTCAGAATGTATGGCAGACGTTTCTCGATACTTTTTGTTGCGAAAATATGAATCGCTTTTGAGTTTTGAGAAGCAAGAAAACTCGATTTTTTAAAGACCTGTGTTTTTCCGTTGTAAATCAACAGTCCGTTGGAAATAGGAACAAAACACGCACAAGCGTTGAAATTAGGTACAGTGCAGGTAAAAAGTCTCGCACCACTTTTTTGTTTTGATCCGTGTATTGAAACTAGACAGCATTGATTTAATTTTTTTTATAGCTGTATAGTACAGATTGAGGACTACATAGATACATCTATTTCATTCGAAAAACTCTGTATAGGATATGATTAATGTTGTCCGCTAAACGTGATTATAAGATCGAAAAAATGGAAAAAGCATATTTTTGTTGATAGGTTTGCGAGAAACCCTTCTGGAAAACCTTAGAGTGTTGTAAAATTTCTTTCGAGTTCTTCCATAAACAGGATATTGAATAACTTAAATACTCTAGATTCTGAAGTTTGAACTCGTTCTGATGTTTTTTGAGTGAATAGTGAATTTTTTAATATTCGGTGAAAACAGTCTGAAAACCCTAATTTTCGTGAAACTGGCTTTTCGGTAGATTTTTAAACATTTTTCTAAAAACAAATATTGCCACAAGACTCAGCATTCTGTTCTGGCGCAGCTGATAAAAGAAAGATTGTAATTGTAAAATGTAACGTTTTTGACCAAAGTTTTAAAATTTACATTTGTTGCTATAGGCCTATTGAGCTTAGTTTGTGTATTAAAACGACCAAAACTTATGGAAACATCATTTTGTCTTTTTTTACGTCATTTTTTTCTGAGTATTGAAGCTGTTTTTTTTATCGTATCCTATACTCAAGAGTTTTTCGAATGAAACAGATGTATCTATGTAGTCGATAATCTGTACTATACAGCTATAAAAAAAATTAAATCAATGGTGTCTAGTTTCAATACACGGATCAAAACAAAAGAGTGGTGCGAGACTTTTGGCCTGCACTGTCTTTATTAAAAATAAGCGAAGAAGGTAAAGACGTTAAATTTTCATTAGAATTAGGAACATCGACTCTACAGGAATGTTCTATATTCTCTTTTCTCTCTTCATGTATATATATATAAACTGTTGGCAAGACATTTTTCTTTCTCTTTTTTGCCCATTGCACATAGTCACTACAGTCATTGATTGACTCATACTATTTCACTGATGCCTAGTATGAATGCATATAAGCTTACTTCAACAAAATGAGTGTGTTTGTTAATGTTCTTCTCTACCGTGCGTACGTCTAATTTTCAAACAACAATGCCGCTTGTATTAAAAGGATCTGTAGTAGTTCATTGCAGCATAACGTGAGTTGAGCAAATCTACCAATGGAATTCTATCTAAAGATTAAATTTATCGTCTTTTTTCCGTGACGTACAGATATCGCAATGCGAAAGATAAATCTAGATATGTGAGAGTATTTGACCAAACTCCTTCAAACGGTTTTGATTACTTTCTTAACCAGTCCGCTTATGTTAAACGCGCAATCAATGTCTTTTTGCTTCTTATTTTTTAGTATAATAATGAGTGCTAGTGCCTTAAAAAGACTCGAGAAAAATACATACGTGATCACATCGGTATTTGATGAAGGCGACATTCGTATGAAATGTATTCGTGCCACGTCTAAAATTGCCGTTGTTAAACACATGATCACATATCCAGACGAGTACAGTGAATTTTTGAAATATTTGGGAGATGATTATCTCGGAGTTCGCACTAGTTGTGAGGATGATAACCCTTATCGTTATGATAGACCGGTACGTGTGCGCACAACAGCCGAAGTGCTCCTTCAAGGTATCGACCTGACTCGACGATTTGCCTCCGAGAGTTTCGTCAGTTTGATTCGTGCATCCGTTCAAAGATTACTAAATGTAACAAACAATGATTGGAAAGAAAAATTAGCTCAAGTCTACTTTGTGTTCCGAGTTTGTACTCCAGACACCATGGATATTTACTACAAGGAAAATGATGGTATTCAGCTCATTTTGGCTAAAAGTGTTCGAGATATTCTAAAATATCTGAGTGAACAAAATGATCCTGTGCAGAAAAAAGTGATAGCGGATACCAAAGAATGGATTAAGAAGAATAAGAAATTCGAGAAAGAATACAAAAAACAATGCAGAAAACATGAAGATGAACATGAAGAGCTGGCAACAGAAGAAGAGATCGATGAGTTATCATTACTCGAAAAAGCCCTTACAAGACGTCCAGTTGCTTCAAATTTAATCAATGAGTTTCGTGACCAGTTTGATGTCGTACTTGTCATTCGACCAATTGATGATTATCAAAAAGATATTTGCGATAATCACGACTTTGAGTACGTAGACACTTTCTAAACAAAAGCTTACCTTGAAAAACTCATCGGATTTTGCAGAAGGTCACTTAATCAAGAGTGATTTTAGAAAATTTGAAAGGATTTCAATACCTGTACTAAACCCAAACATAATTCTTCTTCCAAACATATATCTTACAAGCCGATATTGTTAAACCTTTTCAACAGCTTACGAGGGAACATATCCAACTGTCCGACGCCGATCGGGCTCATATTTTGTGCATATGTAGGACTACGAAAAGATTCGTCCCCATATGAACTCCTTCTCGAGTTATGATCGTTTTAGTGGATTTTCGACCTCTGACAAGGTGTTTGTGGAAAAGTCGTATGGCGGAATTTTGACGAATTTTCTTACCTTTTCCTGTGAGATATGATCGTTTTTTGTACATTCAATATATCGAGAAGGAATCATGCGTTTTAGCTAAAACTTTCAGAACATTGTGATGACCGTGAGACCTATTAATGGGCAAAATTTCAGGCCGCCATTGGATGTTTCCACAAACACCTTGCTAGAGGTCGAAAATCCAGTAAAACAATCATAACTCCAGAAGGAATTCGTATGAGGACGAATCTTTTCCTAGTCCTACATATGCACAAAATGTGAGCCCGATCGGGGTCGGACAGTCGGATATGTTCCATATCCGATCCATATGTTCCATTCCTCGTTAGTCTAACAAGTGTAATACAGGCATTATTTAAGTAAAAATGCGAAGTTTTTAAAAATAATTGATTTACATAAGGAGATGTACCCCCGCCCCCCGATGACTTATATTTTTTCTGACCAGATTGTAGATAAACTGAAACTGCATATACCCTGAAATATTTTCGGCCAACGAACTTGTTTTGACAGAGTTACGGCTTATATAAGTTATATGCCTCTACAGGCCACCTATTGGTATGAATTTTCGAAAAATTTTTTAAGTAAAGGTTTATGCGCGATTTTTGTGTAGTTCGATAGAGTAACCCAAGTTCTATATATATACCCTAAGATTTTATCGATGATTGAATGAGTACTCGCAGAGAAACAGAGACTTTTCCATTATAGTACGTTTCCGGTAATAAAAGGTATTTTTTTAAAACCTTGCTTGCGATTAAATAAATACAATGCATTAGGATAAAAGAGTGTTACGACAAAAAGATGCGCCATAAAATTCTGCATACTGTGAGCGGATTCGAATTTTAACAATTTGTTTTGTTGCTGAGAAAATTCGCCTTTTCTAAATCAGAGGCGAAAAGGTCTGAATTCTGCCCGTAATTCTCGATGTTCTCTAACAGAACTCAACTTCTGTGCAATAAAAATATCATATTCAGAATCAAAACACGAATAGACTGATGTGTACAGGGTGCCACTAAATAAACGGAACACCTACATCTATCTTGTTTTAAACGCTTTTTCTCAACAAATTTTTATTCAAAACCTAGCAAAACAACAGAAACAACAATAAATAAAAAGATTTATTCATGTTTCATATTTATACTAAAAAATAAAAATATAATCAAATTTGTTGAGAAAAAGCGTTTAAAACAAGATAGATGTAGGTGTACCGTTTATTTAGTGGCACCCTGTATTTCGAATTTTTAGCTGATTTTCATTTTTTTAATGAAAACCTTGCTGATTTTCCGAAGTGAAAATTCGAAAAAAATTAAAGTACTCGAATAGGATAGAGACACACATCAATCGACTCAGTTGGATTCTGATTCCGAATATGATATTTTTATTGCACAGATATATATAAACAGTTCGTTGGCCGAAAACATTTCAGGGTATATGCAGTTTCACTTTCTCTACAATCTGGTCAGAAACAATAAAAGTCATGGAGAGTGGAGCGACGGGGGGGCGGGGGGGGGGGGGGGGGG